ACTGTCAAGATGGCACAAAAAAGCCACTCTTTTGAAATCGTTACTTGGAGATTCTATCCAAAAGTAGATTTCTTTGTCCTTCGTAAGTACCACGATGATATCTCTCGCAAATGTGTGCAAGCAGAAGGCCAATATCTTGGTGCGCCACGATAATCCATCAATTCGTTTGCTAGACATAATACGTTGCCGGACAAGTTACTTATCGCCAGCAAAATAATGTTACGAACCGAAACTTACATACTAGAACTACTGCCCAAAAAATCTTGTCTCTTTTAAAATCGGTGGTGAAAGAGTCCAGATCCCGTTTTTCTGTTAAAAATTTGTAAATTAAGGCGAAGAAATGGTATCAGCGCTGCGAACGATGATCGATTATGTGGTCGAGAAGAAACGACTGTAGGCGCATCCAAGCGGATACTGCTAGCGCATAAAGCATTCCAAGGCAACGTAAAATCGAAAACGACAACGTGCCTCTTTCCAATCTCAGGGTTATAGGTACAAAAACTGCGATGATATGAAGTCCCAACGAAGCTATTTTTTGCTGCAGGGCTCAACACTAAAAGAATAACGGAAGTGATTCGTCTGATTGCATTCATTGTTTGGTTTAGTGGGCGGACATTTTCGGACCTTAACTGGAAGAGGATTAAGGAGCCAGTTATGCGCATCGATGAGACGCCTAGACAAACTGAAAGAGTGATAGTGAAAAATACCATAAAACCAAGTGCTGGTTTTAAATACTGCCGCTTATAGACAGTATTTTTGGTCTCGTGGGCAGCGCCCTTTTTTGAAAAAGGGCGTCATGCACTGATAAGGAATCGAACCATTCGTCTTCACATTAAACCACTGCATCACCGACCCTCGTGCTTTTCAAACCTACTGCAATAGCTACATTAATAGGGCATCGTACATATTCTGCATTATCGGCTCTTACACCGTGTGCAGCACACCCTTTCAACAACCGTTGGCTTTTCGTGAGATTACCGCAAAAAATATTGTAAATTTTAAGGCATCCATTGAAGGCATCTTAGATTACTATGCGGTGACTGAACATACCATTGGGCTTCTCACTTACAAAAAAAAAAAATCCTGGTTCTCTCTGACTCGTTTAGTACCATACTCGGGACAGTTCCATAGTACTGG